ATGAGTTTTGCGCGAACAGGAATTAGCAAATATTTGCAAGCTTCACTGCCATCTGGCGTCCCCGGTTGCATTTCGAACATAACAAATATTTTAAATTATTTCAGGTGGAAAAAAAACAGGACCTATACGTATATTTCTTCTTATTCTGACTTTCTTCAACAAACGCTTCAATTTCTTTGTGGAAGTCACTGCCGGATTTCTTACATCGACAGCGGTGTCGACAGCGATCCGATTACAAACACTGTTTTTCAGCCGAGTACCTTTCAAAGGTTTGGACATAATTAAATTAATTGAATAAATAAATATTTACGTTCTTCTTCATTAGTATTTAAGTCGCAACAAGAATGTTCATTTTTTAATTTAACGAACTTGTTGATTAAATTAAGATTGACAAAAATGCAACCGTGTGCCACAATCCTGCTTGCAAATTCGTGGTAGCAAAAATTTTCCCAGCACGAATTTGCAACTTCCCCTTCAAATGAAATACATACCACAATTGTAGGAGTGTTCGCTATGCAACTGCCAGTAAGAATTAGCCAGTAACAAAATTCAGAGAATAAGGTACCTTACTCTCCCAAAGAGAGAAACTTACTAAGTTTTGCGCGAACAGGAATTAGCAAACATTTGCAAGCTTCGCTGCCAGCTGGCGTCCACGGTTGCATTTCGAGCATAATAATTTTTTTTAATTATTTCAGGTAGAAACCAAAACAGGACCTATACATTTATTTCTTCTTATTCTGACTTTCTTCAACATACGCTTCAATTTCTTTGTGGAAGTCACTGTCGGATTTCCTATATCGACAGTGGTGTCGAGTGCGTTCCGATTACGAATACAGCTTTTTCAGCCGAGTACCTTTCAAATGTTTGGAATTAATAAAATTATTTGAATAAACGAATATTTACCTACTTCTTTCACTAGTAAATCGCAACAATAGCAGTGTTCGCTATGCAGAAAATTTGTACAAGTTGGTACCAATTGTTACCAAATCGTGTTCGTTTAGTCAAAAACCCAGTAAAACTTGCAAGGAGAGAGCACAATTTTGACATTTCATTTGGAGGGGAAGTTGCAAATTCGTGCTGGGAAAATTTTTGCCAGTAAGAATTTGCAAGCAGGATTGTTGCACACGGTTGCATTTTTGTCAACATTAATTTGAATAGACGGGTTCGTTAAATTTAAAAATGAACAATCTTGTTGCGATTTACTAATGAAAGAAGTATGAAAATATTCGTTTATTCAATTAATTTAATTAATTCCAAACATTTGAAAGGTACTCGGCTGAAAAAGCTGTATTCGTAATCGGAACGCACTCGACACCACTGTCGATATAGGAAATCCGACAGTGACTTCCACAAAGAAATTGAAGCGTATGTTNACTCGACACCACTGTCGATATAAGAAATCCGACAGTGACTTCCACAATGAAATTGAAGCGTATGTTGAAGAAAGTCAGAATAAGAACAAATATACGTACAGGTCCTGTTTTGGTTTCCACCTGAATGATTTAAACAATTTTTTATGCTCGAAATGCAACCGTAGACGCCAGCTGGCAGTGAAGCTTGCTAATGTTTGCTAATTCCTGTTCGCGCAAAACTTAGTAAGTTTCTCTCTTTGGGAGAGTAAGGTACCTTGTTCTCTTAATATTGTTCATTTTTAAATTTAACGAACTTGTTGATTCAAATTAATGTTGATAAAAATGCAACCGTGTGCCACAATCCTGCTTGCAAATTCTTACTGGCAAAAATTTTCCCAGCACGAATTTGCAACTTCCCCTCCAAATGAAATGTCAAAATTGTGCTCTCTCTTTGCAAGTTTTACTGGGTTTGTGGCCAAACGAGTACGATTTGGTAACAATTGTTACCAACCAAGGCGCATCCATACAAGTAGTGCGTTCCTTAACATCTACGATTTGCAGGTTTGGCAGTATTTAGGCCAAAGTCGTTCCCGTACGCCACAGCTGTTCCTGTAACACCTGGAAATCCTGCAAATCGTGAAGTACGGGAACAGGCTAAAGGTGGTGGCAATTGCATATAAGTAAAAGTCCCGAGTATTTTGCTATTGCTTTTTGGTACAGGAGGATGTCGAAACGAAAGGGAATAGGAGATAAGTTTCGTCATTTCGTTTTGTTGACATCACCTAAAAGGCGAACATATCGTGCTCGATTTAAAACTCATTTTACCGGAATCCTGGTTAGCTTTAATCTTAAATGATTCTTTTAATCCAAAGAAAAAATGGGACAGGTACATAATTACAGACTATGAATGTTGGAAAAAAATAAAAAAACAGAGCCAGTTTTTGTAATTGGAAATTGTTAAATGAAAAAGCCACAAAAGTCCATCGCAAATTTTTTTAAATCAATGGGGATATTTAGCTGTCCATTTTAGGTTATACTGAAATCTCATGCTGCATACCCAAAATTGTTCCAAAAATTCAGAGTAAAAGGTTCTAAATTTAAACGACAGTTTATAGGCAAGAATGATAGAATACAAGATTGCGCCGATCAGAGAGGATTTTTGAGAATAACTTTTGTGTGACGTCACACTGGTGCACTTGCGAGAGAGAAATGCCAAAACGTGAGCAAGAATGGAAGAAGAAGAAAAAATGTTGCAAGGAAAACGTAAACAAGTTGCACCAGTGTGACGTCATGCAAACAACGATTCTGTCAAATTCGTTAAGAGAGGAATAGCGGTCCGAGATCGGCGCAACCTTTGTATTCTCTCAATCGTGGTTTATAGGGATCTTTTCCAGGATTGGTCCTGTTTTCAGACAAATTGTTTAGAAAAACTCTAAACAATTCCAGAAACACCGAATTAGTCCTGAAAATACCGAAGAAGTATCGAAAATCTTGAAATAGTCGAAAAATTCCGAAGTGGTCCCGCAGATCCTGATTTAGAGCCCGAATCCTGAAAATCTCTAAGTAGTCTCGAAAAACCCGAAATAGTCCTAAAAATCCTGAAAATCCCAAAAAAGTCTCGAAAATCCCCAGGTAGACTCGAAAATCCCGAAATTGTCCACAAATCCTGATATAATCCCGAGAACACCAAAACTCTCGAAGTAGTCTCGTAAAACCAGAAATTGTTCCAAAAATTCCGAATTGGTCCCAAAACTCCCGAAGTAGTCCCCAAGCTGCCGATATGATCCCAAAAATCCCTATGTAGTCCCGAGAACCCCGAAAATCTCTAAACACCCGAAATCGTATCAAAAATTACGAATTGGTTCCAACAACCCCAAGATAGTCCCAAAAGTCCCGATGTATTCTCGAGAACCCCGAAAATATCGAATTTGTCCCAAAAATTCCGAAATAGTCCCAAAAATCCTAAAAATATCCAAGTAGTATCGAAAAACCCGAAATAGTCCTAAAAATGCCGAAGTAGTCCCGAAGAAATTTCGAAATTGTCCAAAAATCCCGATATATTCCAGAGAACCCCGCATCCTGAAGTAGTAGAAAAATTCCGGATTGGTCCCGAATATCCCGAAGAAATATTTCAAAAATACCAAAATAGTCCCAAAAATCCCGATATATTCCTGAGAACCCGGAAAATCTCGAAGTAATCTCGAAAAACCCGAAATAGTCCCGAATATCCCGAAGAAATTCCGAAATCGTCCAAAAACCCGATATATTCCAGAGAACCCCGCAAATCTCGATGTAGTAGAAAAATTCCGAATTGGTCCCAAAAATCCTGAAAATTTCGAAATAGTGTCGAAAAACCCGAAATACTCCCAAAAATTCCGGATTGGTCACAAAAATCCCGAAGATCCCGAGATAGCCCCGAGAACCCCGAAAACCTCGAAGTAGTCTCGAAATTCCGACTTAATCCCAAAAATCCCAAAGAAGTTGCGTTGCATAAAAGAGTATTACTTAGTTGAACAATCACAAATCAAATGATTCGCTCTACAAATCAAATCGCAAATAAAATTGATTTTTGATTTGGAGGGCGCTTCAAATCACAAATCAGTTTGATTTCTGATTTGGAGGGCGATTCAAATCACAAATCAATTTGATTTCTGATTTGGTTGACGAATCAAATAACAAATAAAACTTATATTTTATTTGGTTGACCAAGCAAATCACAAATAAATCTTATCTTTTATTTGGTTGACCAAGCAAATCAAAAATAAAATTTAACTTTTATTTGGTCAACAAACCAAATCACAAATTAAATATATTCGTTAATTAAAAGCGGATTTTAAATCAAAAAGGATCTGAAATCATGCAATCATGGTAACCAGACATTGACACTGATCATCGGTTGATATCGCTATCGACGTTTTCGACTCCGCGCATATAACACGGTATCGTTATCGACGTCTTCAACTCCATGCATACAACAGTGAGTCGATAACGATGTTTAACCTGCAGTTAGTGTTAACCAGACATTGAGTAACCGACCCTAAGGGCCGGTTGTTCAAGGTCTGGTTATGACTACTTGCCGGTTAAACATCATTATCGACGTTTTCGTCACCATGCTTATAAGATGTGATCGATAAAGCAGTCGTTGTATTTAACCGGAGCCCTACGATTTGTGCAAATCAGACATTGAACAACCGGCCCTAAATGTGTTAAAGGGCCTATGAGTCGGGAGAAAACCAAAATTCTGGAACGAGTAACGCTTTTATGGAGAATGACGAAATGAAAATAGTGGATTGGTCAAACCGCTTGTATGGTGTGTTTGGCGCTTAAACAATTTTGATTTTGAGGCGATTTTTCAATTCACAACGCAAGCGGTTCGATCAAACGTCAACATGGCGGCCAGGAAATGAAAAACTTTCGTTTTTTCTTAAAATTTCCTTCTAATGGCTTGTAAAACCTTCAAACAACCTAACATACAACCCAAATACATAGCTTGAAGCAAACTGTTATTTTGCTTCGTTTTTCAAGCTGCTTGTGCGGTACGTATTTACGCTTACGTAGTTTGCTTCCGATAAGATACCCGAAAGTTTCACGCGATGTGAACATAGTGTAATATATCGTTAAGATGCAACTCTGAAATTATACATTGCACAGTTGGTAGCTTTTCACTATTCTTCGTTCAATTTTGTTGGTCGCATTTTTCAAAATTCTTTCAACGCTCTATTTCTCGTGCATTGTAGTTTGTGCTTGGATATATGTATTTGCTATATGGTTTGTCTTGCTTTTATATGGGCTCATAAATAACAGCAATTAATGTAAAACGTTAAGAAAGGCTGCTGTAAATTATAAACCATCGGAAAACTTAAAAGTTGCCGATAAATAGGCTGGAGCCTGCGGTCAACACAATTTGGATGTTGGTATACTTTTTCATCTCTACTCAATACAAATGTCTGGATTGGAAAAATTTCAAGCAAATAAAGCTTGGCGTGCTAAAGTCAAGAAATTGCTTGTTATGCAACGGTAAATACAGAATAATTTACATGTAGTCTGAAAGATTTTAGTTAAGAATATTGGAAGTCCATGGCAATAAATGAATTCTTCAATGAAACCCCGATCTCGTAGAAATATGTTACATTTAGAATTTGAAATTTTTCCAAATCGTTGACTATGAAATTGCACATACGTACCTACATAAATACAAGATTGTATGATTAGCTAGAAGATGGCCAAATATAAATATTTTTGTACCATTTGCTTTATTATTTAAATCACAATAACATTGTAGAATACTTCTAATTTTTTATACATTCGTTCCAAGGCGCATCCATACGCATACGCATCCATGCGCCTTGATTCGTTCATACAATTTTTAAAATATTTTATCATTTCATTTATTCACAAAATAGCAATTTAACTCCTCCCATTCACGTCCCAGTGCAGAGCACAAGATTTAGTTTGGATCTAGCAGAAGATTTGCAGGTGTTTCTTGAAGAAAAAATCATTCCCCGAGAAGGAAGTAGTCACTGTCACTCAAAATATATTCCAGAAAATATGTTCGAAACAGAAAACGACGAAAATAAACCTATCAATTCCAACTCAGCTTCCCGTTGTAATAGTGGTATGAAGAATTTTTCCACTAGGGTACATTGTGATGAAACCATGCTTGGTGGCCCACAACAGGTGGAACAATTCCAATGTTCATCAGACGAGAGTTTTATGGCTTTGGAAAAAATGTGCGATAAAACGGTCTCAGATCCGGACAGTACGTTGTATCAGTACACGCACAGCGATGACAAGGAACTTATTGTAGAAAATGCTAAAAAGCGCAGTTCAGTTGGAACCAATTTTAAAACTCCAAGCAGGAGAGGTATACAATAAATTCATGTTTGCTTTTAAAATGAAATATAAGCACAATATATAATTTTATGTTTACTAACCAAAATATATTTCAGAGCTTACAGAAATAGATGAAGAAGCAAAATCTTTACAGCGATTGCTGCTTGACTTATGCGTAGATGAGCAAAAACTACTGGAAAATGAAACTCCGTTAAAGTGCGTTGATGTCACTCAATTAGAAGATATTGAAGCTCCCTCAAAGTTGTGGGATACAACAATTGTGGGAGAGTCTATTTTACAAACATCTCCAGTAAAGATGGTGGGTCTTCTACGACCTTCCACCATAATGGAGGAATGTGGTGAAGACGATTCCAACAACTCCTCAAGTGCATATGGGGATGTTTCATCACATGTAAGTTTTCAAAGTGCAGTTAAAGGGAGTGAAACTTCTGCAACCAGTTATTACGAAACAGGCCACGACAGCACTGGAACAAGTGCAGCGAGCAAAGTTTCGCATATTCCAGACGATAATGCGATGAAATATGCTGAGCCATTTGATACAAGTTTTGAGTTAATTAGTCTCGACAAAACGCTTGAGGCACCACAGCAACATCTGGCAACTGCAAAGGAGCACAGCAACTTTAGTAAATCCAATCTAGAGAGAGAATCTCCAACATTATCTTTGGACAGTTCTGAAGAAGTTATTGAATTACTGTCAGATGAAGAATTAGACGAAGAGGAAATAAAAATACAACAAAATTCAATTGAGAATAAATGTGGCCTTAATAACATGAATAAAGAATTAATTGATTTAGAAATCTCATTTGAAAATGACAACAAAGAGAATTGTGGCATCTTCAATGAGAGTGGTGAGCAGTCATTACATTTCAATGACACAATGGAAGAGGTGGAATACATGATGAAGAAAGGCATGCAGTATATGGCAGCGGCAGAGCCATCAAAATCCGTTTCATATTCGCAATCCCCTATACTAAAAGAAATTCCGATTGTCCAACCCACAATGATAATAAAGCCTTTGCAGGAAAAGGAAAGGACATTTACATTCTCTCCAAAGAAGCAAAATAGTAACTGGTCATCACCTAAAAAGGTAAATCATAGCAAGCCAACGGCGATTGTTACGGGAACAAAAGGTATTGAATAAAATTGTGAAAGTTGCATTATAATTCTGCAATATTCCTTTCTATTTCAGCCAAAACACCTGTTTCAACCCCAAAGCGTACACTGCAAACAAGCGCACAAAAGAATAAGCGCTTTGTAATGGATATGAAACCAATGCCTAAATTAGAGTTATTTAAAAAACCTGTTTCAGCGATTCCGTCACGTCTGAAGGAGCCTACGGGTCGTAAACAATTTTCGCATATTATTAGCCCTGTCGGTGCTTACATGAAAAAAACGGCCACCACTCCACTAATGACTAATTTAAGGCAGCGTTCGGAACATCCAGATGTACACAATGCTACTGTCTTTCGTGAGCTCGAGCAAGAAACGAAAGTTTTCCAACCAAAATTCGGCTCCGTGGTGAATAAGGGCCCTAAGACTTCTAGTTTACCGAAAAAGGCATACATTTCATCAGAATTTAAACACGTAAATATTGATATATACATATGTGCATGGATTTGTAGGATATATACATTTCAAATAATTTTCATGGATATTTTTTTATGATAGATCGTTGATGAGCGCTCGCCTGTTACAATACCTGGTGGCAAGAAAATTCAAAAATACCTTGAAAATGCTATGCTACCAGCTGTGGTACGGCACGAAGGTAAATTGAAAATGTCTGCCAAAGAAGCAAACCGCAAGGCAGCAGCACAAAAAGCGAGCTTTGGTAACACGTCGCAGGGTAATAATGGCAGTTTGGCGAATTTGTCGTTGATGTCGGGTGACATATCTTTATACACAATGAAGGACGCACAAAAATTTTAGACAGGCGCTTCATTATAAAAATGCAAACTTTTTTTTTTTTATGTTACCCAATTCGTCTTAATTAGATTTACTTATCGTAATTACTTTATTGAAAACACTTTCAAAACTTCTTATTAACTTTACACTAAAAATAAAAACACGCATATTCATATCAATAAAACTAGTTTTATAAATGCAATAGTATCGCAGATTCGTTTCCATATTTGATTTTTTTAGAGTTGTTCCTTGTATCTATTTAATTTCAATATTCACCTGCTAAAATATGATTAATTCTTTTCATTTGGTTGTGTGCCCTTCCAAGCACGGTTTACTTTTGATTGGGTTTCGCGTCCCAACTCTTGGCATATAAATCGCCCAACCGCAATAAGCTTCTCGAGGTTTATTCCAGTTTCAATGCCCATGCCATGTAACATATAAACTACATCCTCGGTCGCTACATTACCGGAGGCGCCACGGGCATAAGGGCAGCCGCCAAGCCCTGACACTGACGAGTCCACAACTATTATGCCTATGTAAATTAAAAAGTAAGAAATCTTGCACATCATTCGATTGCTACTAAATATGCGGTTATAATTAAACAAAAGCGTAGACGTATTGCAATGTATTAATACATTTTAAACTGGTCTGCATCCCGGTTTTCGTTACGATGATCTTGCAAATGAAATTTTTTCTTATTTCAAGATATCTTACCATATTCCAAGGCGACTAGTATGTTTGCTAACGCTTGTCCATAGGTGTCATGGCAGTGCACGGCAAGTTCTTTCGGTGGCACAACTTTTACCACTTCTTCCAACATGCGGTGCATAGAACCTGGCGTCCCCACGCCAATAGTGTCTCCTAATGATATTTCATAACATCCCAAACTGTAGAGCTCAGCCGCAAGTTTGGCAACTGCACTTGGCTTCACTGCACCCTCATAGGGGCAACCCAATACAGTGGACACGTAGCCGCGCACTTTGACATTAGCCTGTTTTGCTGCTTCCAATACTGGCTGGAAGCGCTTCATACTCTCGGCTACCGTACAATTTAAATTCTTCATGGAAAATGTATCCGATGCCGCACCAAACACCGCTACTTCGTTGGCACCGGCGGCCAGGGCACTTTCGAAGCCTTTTAGATTGGGTGTAAGTACTGGGTAGGTGATTCCGGGTCTTTTCTGTATGCCACACATCACTTCCATATTATCGCCCATTTGTGGCACCCATTTTGGGCTAACAAAGGATGTGGCCTCAATTGTTCGTAGACCTGTGTCAGACAATTGATCGATCAGCGAAATTTTAACCGCTGCCGGCAATATTTTCGGCTCATTCTGAAGGCCATCACGTGGCCCGACTTCAACAACACGGACTGCTGTAGGAGGGGTGCTGATGTGCTATAGCAATTTCAAGTATTATAAATCAAAGTCGGAACTTCCAATAAAGTGTTTTTACTTACCGTTGCAAAAAGGCGATTTACTATATTTTTGCCGTAAACTAATAGTGCTTTTGATGTAAACATGTTGATTCGACTACAACCTTTATACATTCATTCTTACCCTGCAGTTAAATTTAGAGACAGTCTGACAAAGCGCTAGCTCCGAACTACATATATCATAACCATCTCTGAACTAGTGCAAAACGGATGCAGAGCGGGACAGTTGAAGCTTGCGATGTAAATGTGTAAATGCTAACTACTCGTACAATACGAAAGCAGCTCAGCGAGAAGACCTCCGACTCGAGCATAAATTTAAATTGTTGCGTACAGCTTACAATAATTTTTATTTTTTAATAAAATACACAGTCAATAAAGTTTAGGCACAGCGATTTTTTTTACAATACGGGCAATTATTTTTTAAATATTTTATTTTGCGCTAATTTTTTCTAAAAATATGGTTAATTCTACAACAAAAACCCCAAAAATCAAAGTTCCAAACCTTGTGCAAAATTAAAGAACATTTTGCAAGATTCATTCAAATATTGCAATTTTTATTTACGCTCTCTTGGAAAAAGTTGAGTATGCAGTTTTTTAGCCCATTCAATTTTAGTATAATAAACTGCAAGTAAGAGGAAGATAGGACTTACCATTGATTTTTAGGATTTTGTTTTGTTGAAGGTGTCGCACATTTTTTCCATATAAAAAAATTATCAAACATTATTTTATATAGAGAAAATGAGCGACACCTTCAACAAAAAAATTTATAAAAAGCAATGGTAAGTCCTAGTTACCTCAAACTTGTGCTTTGTTATACTAAAATTGAATGGGCTAAAAAATTACATACTCAACTTTTTTCTAGAGAGCGCAAATAAAAAGTGCAATATTTGAATGAAGTTTTGCAGAATTTTCTTTGATTTTGCACAATGTTTGGAAATCTGATGAGGAAATGTGGTGATTTCCGAAATAGCTATCACTTCTACCATTTTTTCAAATTATTGTTGCTTTTCCACAATAAATTTTCATTAAAAAAAAATGGCCTCGAGCTCAATAAAAATTGTTGAATAGAAAAATAAAATATATAAAAAATAGTTGCCCGTATTGTAAAAAAATCGCTGTACCTAAACTTTATTAACTGACTGTATGTAACAAAAAGGGAACCTGCAAAAGAAAAATCGTAAAAACGTAAAATATATCCAAAAATGGAATCTTACAAACGGTTTCTTATAAAAAAACTGTCCAAAACGGAACAGGTTAAAAACTAGTTGCCAAGTAATGTACTGGGTGACAATTGACATCGCCGAGTAAATCTGGATAGTTGAAAGCATTGCTTGGGTATTGAGCTAGAACTAGTACTGAGTGCAAAAGGTCTAGATCTACGCTAGTCGGATTTCCTGCAGGGAACAAATGCAGAAATATGTTTATACACTGTTTACCATAGGTCCATTCAATAACTTTTCCAGTAAGTACTTGCAGCGAGAGAGTAAACGAAAAATAGAGAGTAAAATTGAGAGCAAGAGAAAATTTGTAGAAAAAGTTATTGAACGCAAAACTAGTAAAAACTTGCAACTTAAGCCATTTTGACACTTTCTGACAGTTAAGTTTTGGCGCGCAATTTTCTTTTTAATTGGGAATAGTTCCCATCGTCATAAAAATAAAAAAATATACAATAGATTTAAATTTTTCATCCATATTTTCATTTCACTAATTATGTTTCATCAAATCATCCTCTTAAACAGTTTGTTTACACTTGAATTTGAAACATAACCTTACTTTTTGACTCTGCAAATTACTGCTAGTAAAATTTTTACTTGCAAGAATTTGCAGCTATCTCGGGTTGTTACGCTCTCGAATTAATACTCGCTTGCAAATATTGTGGGTTATTGAATGCATTTCCAGTAAAAACTTGCAAGTACTAGTAACAATTCGTAACAATTTTTTGATAATGAATGGACCTCATGATAAAAACATTAGTCCCCTTTCAGACACATCAAGTCTTGAAAGCAATTTTTATCGCATTCTTGTTTGTGTTTTCTCTTTTCTTCCACACGCGTCAAGTTTTATTGAATTCAAGTCCTCGGATCTTTAAATGGGAAGCAACGAAAAGATCAAAAGAGAACAAGAAAACTTGAAACGAATTGACGGTACGGAGGTATCTGTACTCTTCCCCTCTCTTCCCACCTCCTTCACCAACGAACGAGCAGACTTGACGTGTCTGAAAGGGAACTTACAAGGTAAAATCATTGAGAGACAGTCTGACGTTTGCCAGCAATATAATCTTAAGACTCGAACTCAAGCTCACACACACATTCTCATTTTTAATCTCAAACAACAATAATTGGGAACAATTTCATTTTTTTATTTTCAATTATTTGAACGTCAGAAAAAAATCGTGGGAGAATGGTTTTACCTTCTAATGTCTTTATCATGCTGTTTACCCATGGCCAGGAGCCATGCAAATTTTGGATTTATTTACAAGGAAATGTTTTTTTCCGGCTTTTGCACGTTGTTCGCACCTTTTTTATTAAAAATATATAAAATGTAAACTTCCAAAGGAGACTTCAACGTAAATGTTCTTTTTATTTTATAATAAAAATCACGAACGCATTATGTGTTCAATTTTTAATTTTCTTATGTTGAATGTGATTTAAAAAGGTTATTCTAAAGAATTTTCTTCCTAAATAAAACGTTTTTATAATATTTTGGTGAAAATTTACTTTTAAATTTCTCATCAGATTTTGCAAAAAATTAGGCTTTGTGGTTAGTGTGTCACCACTAACTTCAACAAATTTTTAATTTCAACATTTCAATGAATGAAAAAAACTTAAATTATTATGTAATAATTTTCAGGTCCATTATATTCCACAACCTGGAGTGGACTGAGAAATCTTCTGCTTAAAAACCTCTTACTTCTAGTGATCAGGCAGCATGAATTTGATGAAATGTCATAATTTTATTAAAAGTCAAATGGTTAGCAGCAACAACGAATGTCATTAAATGGAACTACTTTCTTTTTTGTATCATGCTGTTTACTATATATAGTTACGGTGGCCATCCGATCTGTTTTTTGCAGGACCGTACTGTGGGCGCGTTCAGTAATGCATCAAGCCAAAGCATCAGTCTCTTTTATTTCTAAACTATAATTGATGGAAATATCAAATATGCGCAACCCCAGTTAAAAGCCGAATTGGAACTAAGTTGCTCAAATAAAACATTTCCATCAATTACAGTTTAGAAATAAAAGACTCTGATGCTTTAGCTTGATGCATTTCTGAACGCACCCTGTTATTCAAAGGTCTGTTCTGCGTAGTTTTTCAAAACAGAAAAACCTCCAAATTTACTGATTTTTTCCAAGTGTCTTGCGTTCGTCCCGCATTTTATTCGATATTTTAAAATAAACGGCGGAAGTCCTTTACTTATCAACATATAAGGCAGTGGCGATAGCTGATTGATAACTACATGAGGATGAGGCTGATTTTGAAGCTTCAACAAGTCAATGCGTTCTATATTTTGTAAGACCATTGACAATGGGTTACGAAAAAATTAAGACCGGCATCAAAAAATCCCAGTAGCACTGTTCTAAAAATTTTAAGTTAACGCTGAATCTAAGAAATAAACGTTTTCCAAACTAATTTTGGTTTGCTTAACACGTCAACAATAGGCAATTATCTTTTTAAAGAAGCGTTTTCGAGATTTTTCCGCAAAACGTGTTTTTTTATTTTATTTTTCGGAGCTATTTGTCCATATCTTATGAAAAAAA